GATTGACAACATATGTAGAAGGCAATACTACATACTGTACCAACACACAAGGCTTCCCGAATAGCAAGGAAAACCTACCAACGCACGAAAAAAACTGGCAGCACCCAATCAACCTCACCTCTTGCACTTGGATGGTGTGCGAAGGCAGGGTCTCTGACAGCACCCTGAGGGTTGCGATCATCTGGAGGCATGAAACAAGACGGGGGAGGGGTCGAAAACGCACGATTTGCTTTGTGTTCATGTGCAGCATTACCACACACTACCATTTTACACACTACCATTTTCATGTTCAGCGGGATTTTTACCTCAAAGTTCCGAAGAAACTCATCTCTTGGAGCAATCAAGATCAGTACCAGCGAAACTACGTCGAATTTCATATATATTTGTGTGTTTTTTTTATTTTACATTGAATATTTTTTTGTTTTTTTTAGAGGACAAATCATTATACTGCGGTTCCACGTGCGGCACAACTACTACGTGGTACGGTTTCACGTGCACTACCACGAAAGGCGTGTGCGTCAGTTGGACCGGTACGGACGTTGTCTGATACTGAGGAGAAACCGGAACGGTGGCTTTTGTGAACATGAACAACAACAACAACAAGTATCAGGACCACCACCATCATCAACAACAACAAGATCAACCACCACCACCACCACCAGCAACAACAACAACAACGACAACAACAATCACCACTACAAACAAAAAACACACAACGGCAACAACAACATCAACCACCACCACTGACAACAATCACCACCACCAACACCAGACACCGGGTGTAACAGAACGTGAAAGCAGTCGACTCACCCTCTCCGAAAGTCCGTTCGAGAAGAGCGGTCCCAGAAGCTTGGGCATGAAAGGGGCGAGCAACTCCCCCAAGGCCTGCGTGATGTTCGCCAGACACTCCATCGCAGCCGGGCAGCACGACACCTTTCCTCTCCCCTTCTCCTTGTCCCGATCTCTATCGCTGTCCCTGAACCGAAAAGCAAGGACGATGTTGCAACCACCGTTTTACCAGGAGGAGAAGCTGGGACCAGTCGCCTTCGCGAGAAAAAAAAACTTGTGAGGAAATAGACAGGGGGAGATGGTAGGGTACGGCACGCAGACCCCATCCCTGACCGAATTTCCCCGATTGCATGCTTTTTCAAACATGTTTTACCTAATAGAAAACACCCGTGAAGCCTACTGAGGAGCAGAGGCAACAGCAGCACACTCACGACCGACATCGTCGTCTACCATCATCAGCAACAACTGAGGGTAAATGCCATCAACCACACAGCAACCAATGCGAACGGAATAAAAAGACGAAAGAAACCACAACAACGAGACGAAAAAACAAACAAAAACTAAAAAACAGCAAAAAAAAAAAAAAAAAACAGAGCAAGATTACACAAGACAGTAATAAAAACACAAAAAGATCGCTGAAAAAAAATTAAGAAAAACTTCCGCTGAAGCTCCGACTTCATTGCAAATCTATCTTATTGAAGTATTTTCTCATGGATAGACATGGGTTTGTTGTGTGTCACATTAAGGCAAAAAAAAAAAACGGGAGAAATTCACCTTGTTCCTCTTCTCGGCGGTATAGGTGCTGGGCCTTGCTCTGCTTCCAACCCGATCAGCACAACCTCCACAAGGGCCACTACTTCCTTTCTCAAGTCCGCGACTCCTAGCGCGAGGGTAAGCTTGCCCAGAGCCTTGTACGCAGACGCGCTCTGATCGCACCTATCGTCAGCCAATCACGAACGGAAGGCCGGATTGAAACGCAAGCAACGGAAAACGACATCGCTGTAACTGGGTTGAAACGCATGCGATGACAAAAAAGGCGTAGGAATATTGTGCACCAACTGTGACACTGTGACCGCGACCGAAGGTCCTCGCCCTTCATCAATGAGTTGAGGTACAGAAACCTGAGTCAAACCGGGTCGTCATCCGTAGTGAGTGCTGTACCTTGAAAGCAAGCAATGGCGAAAAGCATCGGACGTACTGCTGTACCATGAAGCGAAAGCAATCACAAAAAACATCGGACGTACGGCTCTACCAACGCTAAACGCAAGCAACGAAAAAGAGGCATTGATGTACATACGGCTGATTTATTTCTCCTTTCGACATGTCTTCTCGACGCACCCGCCAGGTTCACACAGCATGAGAAGCGAGAAACGGGACACATCTATTTATTTTCTTCAAAAAGTTGATCGACAGCAAAATTAACAAGGAGCGGGTGTGTTTGTGTGTGCTCAGTAGTTGCTCACACCGATCTACCATATATGACACAAGATAACACACACCCTGGGCCGATTTTCAAAGCTCGATTACGCCACGACGAAGAGGATGCATAAGTGAAACAATACATTTTCGGAAAGCTCTCGACGAGAAAGCTTCAACACCACCGTTTTCGGCGCTGTGACTCTTTCTGCTGTTGAGAAATCGAGCTTTGAAAGTCGGTCCAGGGGGTGTGTTATCTTGTGTCACGGTATTTGCAACAGTTGAATTGGTATCCCTTCGGTGGGAGCTCCCGCCATTCATTCCTGATCGTCATGTGGTGCGCCCATACAGCGGTGGGTCCCACACGCCCCTGTTCAACGGCATGCCCTGCACATTACCAGGCACTACTGCACCCTGACTATTCGATAGCCGCTGTACCGGCAATAGCGATCACCATATTCCCTCCTACCCGTATTGCTAACTATCTCAGAGGTCACTTGAGGCTACTTTCTAACCTGTTTTCGCAGCAGTCTGCTCACCTTATTTGGCAGCTAGCGAACATATACTCCAAGGTTATCATACATAGAACTTTTGTCATTCATCTTTCTTGTAACTTTCTTCCGTTCAACCAAATAAAGACAATCCAAGACCACACACCTGCTTTGGCAGCTGGCGTAGAGATATTCCAAGGTATCAATCAGGTACTTCCGGCTGAAGTCGAGCGGGCTATACAGAGCCAGCTGCGGGAGCAACGTTGTCACGGACAGCTTGACGCACCTGGGAGCCACGGACAGGGATATTCACAGGGCTGAGAGTTGGGAACAGGGTAAGGCTAGAGTTGGTGGGTAGGATGAGGGTCTGTGACAGGGATACAAGGCTGAGAGTTAGCAGTAGGAGTGAGGTTAGAGGTAGTGGGTCTTTGACAGGGATACAAGGCTGAGAGCTAGCAGTAGGAGTGAGGTTAGAGGTAGTGGGTCTGTGACAGGGATACAAGGCTGAAAGTTAGCAGTAGGAGTGAGGTTAGAGGTAGTGGGTCTTTGACAAGGATACAAGGCTGAGAGTTAGCAGTAGGAGTGAGGTTAGAGGTAGTGGGTCTGTGACAGGGATACAAGGCTGAGAGTTAGCAGTAGGAGTGAGGTTAGAGGTAGTGGGTCTTTGACAGGGATACAAGGCTGAGAGTTAGCAGTAGGAGTGAGGTTGAGGTAGTGGGTCTGTGACAGGGATACAAGGCTGAGAGTTAGCAGTAGGAGAGAGGTTAGAGGTAGTGGGTCTGTGACAGGGATACAAGGCTGAGAGTTAGCAGTAGGAGTGAGGTTAGAGGTAGTGGGTCTAGACAGAGATGCAACGCTGAGCGGTAGTCAGGAATAGGGGAAAGCCTAGAGTTAGAGTTAGGATGTACACTTTAGTAGCATAGGGTTAGGGTTAGGGTTAGGGTTAGGGTTAGGGTTAGAAAGGCTAAGGCTAGAGTTAGGATGTACACTTTAGTAGCATGGTGGTCTCGATGCATCGCAGTCCCCGACATATGTCGCGGGAAAAGTTCCTTTTCACAGCAACCCAGCCGTTACAATTTCAGGGGGACCTTCCCCCACTAGCGCGGTCCCGATATAACGCGGTGATTGTTGTCTGCTACTACACCGCGATATGTCAGGACCACTGTGAAATGAGGGTCTGTGACAGGGACACAAGGGCAAGAGCTAGGAATAGGAGGGGAAATGTTACAGTTATGGGGTAGGATGAGGGTCTGCGATCGGGCTATTTATCAGGGTGAGAGTTGAGGAATGCCATAAAATGACATCCATTTGTGATCAGACCAATCAACTTTGTGTATGCTTGATATTTATTTCTGTTTTGGTGGTTTTCGGAAGACAACTCAAGAACAAAACGAACCGTGAGTGGTCGTCCTTCTTAAGGTCCATACCGCAAAGAACAAAAAAAAAAACGCACCGGGAGCGGTTGTCCTTAAGGCCCATAACGGCGGCGCAGATTTCGTCGAAGCGGGGCATCATGAAGTTACCCCCGTGCTCCAGCATCGGCCCGGCCATGAGAATAGAGCCGTGCACGTTGGCTTCGGTGGGCTTCGAAAATCCCTCGCGCAGTTGCTGGAAGACGATGTACCGCCTGTTAAAATTTGTGTCGAAATGTTTTGGAAAAAAAATGGTGAAATGATCGTAATCGTGGTTACTACGACGCTAGATGCTGGTAGACTAACCTCTGTGTTTGTTCTTTGTTGTTGAAAACAAATGTAGATCGTTTGATTTGCGCCGGAGCAGCAACAGAGTTACAACGAAAGCAACAGAAACAACCACAATCAAAACAACAACAACGACAACATCAGCAACAGCAGCAACGAACACAAGAACAACGACACTAACAACAACACACGACAAGCTACTGGACGACGTTAAAATTCGTATTTTTTTTTGTTTTCAAAAATAAGATTTGTCTTCACGAACCACTACCACCACCAACGACGATAGCAACCATAGCAGCAGCAGCAGCAGCAGCAACAGCAGCAACAATGCCGGCTCACCAATTGAGGTTGAGCATGTTGCGTCTCCTTGCCGACATGGCCAGGCACATCGTCAGAGCTTCCGCCGCAGTCTCCCGAAGCTGTCGAAAAACGCGGCGTAAGCGCACAAAACAGAAAGCTGGGTGAAACGGCCGTATTACGCTTGCACCAGCTTGTTGCGGTAAATGTGGTGTCAACAACACAAAAAACAGAAAGAAGGGTGTGACGTGTGTACTACGACTACACCCGCTTGCTGTGGAAAATGCGGTGTCATTAACACACAAGACAGCAAGAAGCAGCTAAGTAGTAAGCCGCCGGTTTTCTCCCACTCACTACCGTAAAGACTGCAACAACCTATCGCCTTCGACTGTGGTACTACCTCGAACTGGTAGTCTCTTCTTTGATTGTGTGTGTAAAATTCCTACAACAGACACACAAAACACATCCGCGTGGCCCCCCTGTAGGTAGAACCCTTCGGCAAGACCTCGTCAGCCGGTTAGTGCGGTCAATGCTACAAACAAAGCCCCCGGTATCCCGCCGGCTTTGCTCCCACATCCCCTTCGACTATCATTTTTTTTTTTTTTTTTTTTTTTCGTCTTCACTTCAAGTCAGCGCTCACAGCATCATGGTTGTATCTCGAACTTGTAGTATTTTCTTTGATGTTTGTTTTTATACTTTCAATAAAGCAAGGGTGTGACGGTCATGCTACGAATCACGCCGGCTCTGCTCGGGCGGTACGTTCCGGTTGCGAGGCATCGTGTCGTTCCTGCTATCGTTGACCCTCCCGTGGCAGACACACATGAAAGATGGATGGCTTCACGGTCTGCTACCACCGTCACACAGCACAAAATCGCCGGCTTTCATTCCAATTCGCTGTACGAATGTAGTAAATAGCCGGTATCGCTGCACTTCAGCGAGGCATTTTGTCGGTTTTAAGATCGAGCAGCACTGACGCCACAACTTCGTTTTCTTGGTCTTATCGTTACCTTTTCCATGTTTCCGTGCACAGTCTCCCATCCCTCCTCCCTGCCGATAAACGACCAAGACTCACCGCTGCATTCTTCGTAGAAAGCATACCGTAAAACATACCGTAAAAGGCGAAGAGATGGCACCCCCTCTAGACCGACTTTCAAAGCTATATTGCTCCAAAGCCAAGATTGTCTGTACCGTACCGTATACCGTACCGTGGTATTCCGTAAAAGGCGGAGAGATGGCACCCCTCTAGACCGACTTTCAAAGCTATATTGCTCCAAAGCCAAGATTGTCTGTACCGTGCCGTATACCGTACCGTGGTATTCCGTAACGGGCGGAGAGATGGCACCCCCTCTACACCGACTTTCAAAGCTCTATTGCTCCACAACCAACGGGGTTGCGGAAAGGACAACCACTCTTGATACCTTTTCGACTACTTCATCCTACTTCCAATTTCTGTAGCTTTCCGGTGTCTCAATGCACAGCGCTTCCTTCCGACCAAAACACGACCAAAAATCACCACCTGTAAGTTCTACTTGTGCTTGTATTAATAACTTTTCCGACTCTTTTTTATTTCCTGTATCTTTCCGGTGTCTCAGTGTTCAGCGCTTCCTTCTTCCCAAAACACGACCAAAAACCACCACCAGCAAATATGAATGAAGTACAGCTCTACTTGTGGTATGAATACCTTTTTCGACTCATTTTTTTTTCCTGTACCTTTTCGATGTCTCCGTGCACAGCCTTGACGATGTGCGGGATGATGTCGTGCATGCTACCGTACACCCACGAGGGGGCCTTCTGGGCAAGCTCTCGCAGCACCAGGCAAGCCGCCAGCTTCCGATGCCAGTTCTCCTCCTTCAGCCACTGTTACCGTAGATTGCGTAGATTACGGAGAAAAAAGCACATCATTTTTGGGCTACTACACATGCACATGCTGTTGGTATCGTCTCTATTCACATCGTTCCATGCCACATAGCAATTGTTGCGACCGTCTCTATTTACACTTTCAGCAGCACCAGGCAAGCCGCCAGATCCCGGTGCGAGTTCGCCTTGCGCCCACTGTTATCGTAGATTGCGTAGATCGAGGAGAAAAACGCACATCATTTTGGGCCCTCACAACAACTGTTGTTGGTCTCTATGTACATCACATCGCCTCACTGGCTAGTATTTGTGGTCGTCTCTATTAACTCTTCCAGCAGTACCAGTCCTCATCCCGAGCCACTGCAACTGCTGCCGTAGATTACGTAGATTGTGTGCCGTAGATTTCGGAGAAACACTAGTTTCATCAACAGTATGCATATGCATAAAATAATTGGTCTTCATTTAAGTTTTCAGCAGAAAAAAAGAAGAAATCCAATACCAACTCATCCTAGATAAATAAGGATTTACTGTGTTTATAGCCAATACCAACTCATCCTAGATAAATAAGGATTTACTGTGTTTATAGACAAAGAATATAAAATGTAACGGCTCCTTCGTTCTCGCTTTTGTCTTTTCTCACCTGCAAGGCCTGCGAAATCTCGTTTTCGACGTACTCCGACGACGAAGAGATGGACGTTCGAGCCATATACCCTAGAGCCTTGGCCACCTGTTGAACGTGAAACCGTGTTCATGTGGGGGGGGGGTGTACTCGTGTTTTGCATGCATTCCCTAGGGCCTTGGCAAACTGTTGAACGCGAAACCGTGTTCATTTGTGTGTGTGGGGTGTACTCGTGTTTTGCATGCATTCCCTAGGGCCTTGGCAAACTGTTGAACGCGAAACCGTGTTCATGCGGGGACACGCACACACATATTTTTCATGTATTCCCTAGAGCCTTAGCCAACTGTTGAACGTGAAACCGTGTTCATTTGTGTGTGTGGGGTGTACTCGTGTATTGCATGCCTTCGCTGGCAAGACTACTGACCACGCGTCCTCGAGAGGACGGAGCGTTGTTCCCACAGGACCGAATCACCGATGGCCACTTCCATCGTGTTGACGTTGAGGAGGCTTCAGTAATAGAACAGAGCCTTGACCACGTGATCACCGTGAAAGCGTGTTAATGCGGGGGATTCTTCGCTATTGCCGCAGGTTGCGTTAGATGTCACACCCCCTGGACCGATTTTCGAAGCTCGTTCTCTCGGCAGGAAAAGCAGTGACGGTGCCGAAAATGGCGGGAGGCGTTGTAACCGTCTCGTCGAGAGATAGCTTTCCGACAAACATATACTTCCATTTCGGCATCCTCTTCGTCGTGGAGAAATCGTGCTTTGAAAATCGGTCCAGGGGGTGTGATATTTTATGCAACCTACGGTACCATCGACCGCACCAACCTACTGACCAATCACAAGACGGCAGTCTCAGCCAGCGCAGCTAAAAAAAGTGCGAGTGTTTCGTGGATGCCTCGACCATCAGCATCGACCACGTTAACCGGCTGACCAATCAAAAGACGTCAGTCCCAGAAAATGGACGAAAAAGGATCACTTTCGCGACCCTAACCTTACACCAACTTCTCCGATTGCATGGTTAATCCAACATGTTTACTAAATAGAAAAGTCCTGCGACGGCTGCTGAAGAAAAAAAAGTGTCGTTTCAGACGCACTGCAGTAGAAAAAAACGGCTGGGGTTCGTCGGATACCGTAGGTGACATGACACACAAGATATCACACCCCCTGGACCAATCTTCAAAGTGCGATTACTCTGCAGTGAAAGCAGCGGCGGTGGCGACAATGGCGGCGGTGGAACCGTCTCTTCGAGATCTTTTCTAAGACATATCATTCGACTTTGGCGTCCTCTTCGTCGTGGAGTAGTACGCACAGAGCTTTGAAAATCGGTCCTCGGGGGTGTGGTATCTTGTGTCATGTCACCCACGGTATGTACACGATCCACGGGACTCAACCTATGTAGTAAATCTCACCTCGTTGAGCAGCTCGTAGTTCTTGCTGGTCTCCAGCGTGTAGGAGAGATGCAGGGAGAACTTCTTTTTCGTAGCCTCCGCCTGCATGCTGGCCGTGCCAACCAGCGCGTAGATGGCCGCAACGGCGCCGAGCTTCTTCGCGAGCTCCTGCCAAACGTCGGGAACAAACAAAAAATCATGCGCGGGCTTTGTTCGGAACCGATATCGCTGTATGCTGCTCCGGAGATATTAGTTGGTCACCGTACAGCACTATAATTTACTATAATTATTTATTTAAGTTAGGACAAATGGTCGAGTGGTTTATGGCACCAGTTTTGAAAGCTGACGTAGTTAATAGCTACCGTGGGTTCGAATCCCTCTTTGTCCGAAAATTTATGCAATCCTGCGTTAAATTCAAACTATTTGGCAGTATCCTGTCAGATGGTAGTTTTAGATTTCTTCAATTACCCTGCTAATCCACCACGGGCTGTTCTCTGCTGTGCAAGAGATGGATTTGTTGTGTTGTTTGTGAGGAAAAAACAAAAAAAGACGTTGGTGGGGGTGGCCAAGCACTAACAAGCAGCCCGCAAGAGGTCGAACTACAAGGCCCCACCTACTGATGGTTGCCTCGATTCGGGGGACACAACAACAACAGCACTTGCTTACAACATGACCGTACGAGCCCACACGGACCCGCAGTGCGGGTAGTTGTTTTGTTTTTCTCAAGGTATTGAAGAACAAGCCATTCGACGTTGGCTCTATTTCAATAGTTAAATCCAGTACATATGATAGGAAAGCAACCCTCCCATCCGTTTAGGCTTCGTGAGTTCTACTGTTATCAGTAGTGGACACCATGAAGAGGCGCACTGTGTGCTGGTACGTTCAGGGTTGTCCACTGGAGCTGAAGTACCGAATGTCGCAGCAGCCTTTGAAAACAGGTTGACGTCTGCGCCGGAACTCGCTGGAACGACACACTACTGTTCACAGCCGTCCTCACCTCCACGGACCGAAACCCCTGAACGGAGGGTCGTCAGCAGATGCTAGTGGCATCCGCTACGGCAGTCAACACTCCGTTCAGGAGATTGGGGTCAGTGGCGGCCAGCACAACAAGCTACACAAGACACGAGGGTGCTTGTGGAACTTGCGGAGATTTGCCGAGATTTTAGGCCGCTACTACGGCCCTCGATATCACCGCACAAAGGAAGTGTACTTGAGGGTGCTGACCCCCCCCCCCCCCCCCCGCTGCTATTGAATGTCCTCTAGTGATATCAGTAGAGTGCATAGAATTTATGCACATGTAGTGCAAAACCGACCTTGTTTGAGCGCCTGCCGTTTCGGCTCTGTTGACTTGAGTTTAGAGAAGTATAAAACGGAGGTTGCTGTGAGAGGTGCAACTCCAATGCTGCTATTTTAGATACTGCTGCCGCGGTTTGTGGCATCTGCAACCGCAGCAAAAACCGTTCCGGAGGCGCTGGCCACATACCTACCTACCGCGTGCACTTTCAAATTTGAAACATAGCTGGAGATCACAGTCATGACAGCAGCAGACGAGGCCGCAGAAGAAAAACTTTACTTCATGAAGTAGAAACATATGTACGTATGTGGATGCCTCGTATGTATGCTGTGGATATTTACTACTGGGACAACACGGACAGAGAATTATTTGATTGTTGAAAGCATTACCACCGCCATGAATCACCACTAAAGCGGGGCGGGCAACACCCGCGACGACTTTCTGTTGACTACAACAAGGCGCGGGGGGGCAATGAAATTAATTTTCGCCAAAGAGGAGCCAGCCAGGAGAGCGAACAACAGCAACCGAGGGCATGAATCGTACATTTTCTAGGGAGAGAGAGAGAGAACCAGAACTAATTGCGAGCGCGGGCAGCTAAAACAGCAGTAGAGTTGGGAGCTGTCGTTCAGGGACATCCGCGACACAACCATGGAATACGATGATGGTGTGTGTGTGCTACATACAGAGAACATCAGGCGCAAAGAGGCGACACAAAAGAAAAGGTTGACGTCGCATGTATGTACAGCAGTAGCAGTGGCCGAGAAACATATAGCCATGGGCCCGAGCGTATCTGCCTGCTACGTCTTGGCCAGCTCAGCGGGGATGCAGTGCTACACAATATTCAGGAGTCTGCTACGTGGGTGCAGCACACGCGCTTATTTTGCGCTGGCCCACTGATGGATCCACCTCTTGAACTACTGTACAAGGCTGCTGCTGCCATTATTGCCAAAGGTCGTTCGTCCGTCCTTCGCCAGCCGCCGGGGGTCTTGCAAAGAAGGCAACAACAACAACACAACGCTCACCGGTTCAGCCAACATGTCGACCACCCGCTGGTGGAGCTGGAGCTCGAACTTCTCGAAGCTCTCGGTGGACAGCTCCCTCGCCAGCCGCTCAACGCATACCGTCAGCCTCTCCGCGGCATCCGCTCTCGCGCTGCGGTCGGTCTCCTGCCTGAGCACCGTGAGGCACGACTCCCACGCCAGCAGCTTCTCATCGGTGATGAGGTCGAACACATAGGTCGTGCCGGGGTCCCACGATGGCGGGTCCATGACACAGAAGTAGCAGCAGCAGCAGCACGGCAAGCGGCGCACTCCCCCTTCCAGCGGCGTCTCTCTATCACGCGAGGTCACGCGTGTTGTGTATATTGTTGGACGTGTCAATCAAGCCCAGGGGAAGGGGACACGCAGATAGCAGAATATATCTCTCGTTTTGTATGTGAAGCTGATCGTCGTGGTATCCCTCCCTCTTCGGCGGAGATACAGGACAGAGGAATAAGCCCCGGTGTCCTGGTGGCGATGGACTATCGGCGCAGATATTTTTTGCTTCTGCTTCAGCACCCTATCTACGTAGGTTGGTGTGCGGTGATGCGACGTGTCTCTCAGTGGTGAATGAGCGCGGGGGTAGAAGTAATAGCAATTTGTTCACGAGATCTCCACTTTTCTCTTCTGACTCTTACTGCTGTGGTTGCTTGCCAACACGGCAACAAACAAAACGTCGGTGTCCGAAAACACCGCATATAGGCATATATGCATGTTTCCGAGATTTCTCGTATCTACATATCTTTCTCACACAAGCTACGCATGGCACAATCAAGTCGGCCCATCCATCGACAGCAGCAAGTAGCATCATCGCAGAGTGAACGTGGACGCGTTGCGTTGGCGCGTCTTACTCCTGCTGAGTTGGATCTGGGTGCACGGATCACTACTCTGTGGGGTGTATTTGCCCGCAGTGCTGGCTCGAAATAAGTCCAGTACAGTACCCAGCCGGTTTCCCTCCACTCACTGAAAAGACTCCACACATCCCGTTCGACTGTGGGTATATCTCGAATGGGTAGTCTTTCTGTGTGTGTTTTTATTATTCCTTAATCCCTGGGTGGACTTCACGTATGTACCGCTGTATGCTCATGTACAACTACCGTAGGTTGCATAAGATATCACACTTTCATTAGATACCACACCCCCTCAGAAAACGTACACAATACCACACCGGTGTGCTATTTTTTTCAGCCCCCCAAAAAACGTCATTTTATCACACGGTGACATAAGATACCACACCCCCTGAAGTTGGGCCGCATTAAATCGACGGAGCCCCTGCTTATCACACGGTGTGACAACGTGAGGACAGAGATCACGACCACGCCACCTGCTCGCAAGAGCCATGGAGGCGGACAATGTCGTGGAGGGTGGTGCAGTTAGCAACCCTGCTGAAAGCCCCGCGGCTCGAGCAGCCCCACGTTCCCCCGGGGCGGGTGGAAAGAAGGACGCTATGGAGCGTGGGGCCGCCGCTGGAGTCTTACCCACTGCAGTCTGAGCCGCGGGGCTTTCAGCAGGGTTGCTAACTGCACCACCCTCCACGACATTGTCCGCCTCCATGGCTCTTGCGAGCAGGACGACTCCCTCAGCAGCCGCACATGACACCGCACGTACTGCTGAGGCCCGCTCAATAGAATCTACTGCTACTGAGACTCCCACAGCACCGGCTGCGCCTGCCACCGCGGGTGCCGCTGAAACCTGCGAAGCAGAACCTACTGCTGAGAATCCCGCAGCACCCACACCCACACCCGAAAAGGCAGCTCTCCCGCCAACCACCAACACCCTGAGCGCGGCTACTGCTGAGAACCCTGCAGCAGCACCGCGCTGCGGAGAACCATCGTGCACCAACAAGCCCTTGTGGGCAGAGCCAGGGAAGGATATGCCGGAGTTTTGCGGTAGGCATGCGAAGTCTGGCGACGTCTACATCAAAATAAGGTGTGCGCAGAGCGTCTTGCAGTTTGCAGCACATGGGTGTTTGTGAGGATTCTGATGGCTCAAGCAAACCAAAGAACATGCCACGCCTGATTGCCTGATCGATAACCAGATCGAAAAAATAATGGGATTTTGACGTCGTGTCGTCGCGCTCGCCTCACTGTACATCGGCATGTACACACTACATTTACATGTAGTTCATATATTCTGGTGTGGGCGAAATGTTTACTGGATTGTTTTTTTCACACACACGACACGTTTCCGCATACCGTTTTTTGTGTTTGTGATGTTTCGGTAGGAAGACTGCGAAACCCGTACCCAACACGTGCAAATATGTAAACATAACCTCGACAGCAGTTCGTGCCTGTTTGTGTGAGATACGAAATAGGTGCCGTCAGCTGCTCACCCTCTGTACCTTGCAAGCGTGGACGCCATGACTCTCAACCTGGTGGCCGTTGTCAGAGCTACCCGCTAGCCATCGTATTTTTGGTACGTTTGCCTGATGGTCGTCGGAGCGAGCGCATTGTTACAGATACTGCACTTAACGACGCGTATGCTACATGTTTTGTTGCTTCCTCGAACTCATTCGCTTTTCAGGAACGTGCACCTGCCTGAAGCACCGACGACAGCAGCCGCAGCGGCACCCGTCGGCGACGCCATGTTTCCTGGAGAGTCAGAGGAGTGGACAGATGGTTTCGGTGGGCGTCTCGACGGCACGCCGGCCGAGGGCAAGGGCAAGGGCAAGAGGAAAAGACAGCCGCTGGAATTGGAGCCACCAAACTTCCCCATTAAGTTTGGTGAAGTTGTGGTGGCCAGAAACGCAAGCGGTACGATTTGGAATTCAAAGTAAACGCCACTAAGTACGCGACCATGCAAAGCCCGGGGGCGCAGGGGCCAAATGGAACCATCGGTGTGTCGTATGCGCAACGAGTGCTTGGGATTCCCGAGAAGATCACACTCTCTGCGTGGATAAAAGACAGATCAAAGTACGAGAAGCAGCTGGAACAGGTAGACCAGCTCGGGGCCAAACGCAAGAAAAAAGCCCGGAGCGTGAAGTCGTTCAACACGGGGAGGGTTAGGTCAAACGCTGAGGCCGAGCTCGAACTTCTCGACTGGATCAACGATGTTCGTTCGGAAGCCATCTCTGCCCGCGTCTCTACAAGGATGATCAAGAACAAGGCGGTATCGCTCAACTCGCTTTGGTTCGGCCCGAGGCCTGCAGCGAACGACCTGGAGGGCAGTAGAAAGTACCGCAACAAGCAGACTCACTGGTGCAGGAGGTTCCTTAGGAAGAACCGGTTGTCATTCCGGGCGGTTACCAGGCAAGGCCAGAAACTCCCTTCCGGGTGGCCTGCGATTGCCATGAAAGCCGTCAAGGAATGGAGGGCGCTTCGTCACGGAGGAATCGGCAGTGGGGGAGGACGGAGCATGGGGGGGGGCAACGAGCAGTGCGCCTTCGAAGCCACCTCTGTTGTTCAAGGAGGAGCAGAGCTACAGCATGGATGAAACTGCTGTGTGGATGGAGCCCGCTCTCACGTCGACCGTGGCGGTGAGTTCAATAGTGTTGCTTCGAGTCATGTGCCTGTCTGGTCGTTTCTTGGCATTCCGTGCAAACAGTGGGCATTGTGATGCAATATTTCTTGCCGTACCTACTCAGTGTCCAGCCAGTAAGGCTAGACGACGTTGGTTTTGTGCTTATGCCGGGTTAGAAGTTTCTTACCATTCGCATCCACCATCGCTGTACTGCAAAACCCATACGTTACTTTGTGCGTGAAGAGCTGTCATTCTCATCTACAAAATCGACTTTTTTCGTCGCCTCTGCTTTCTCTATTGCTTTTTGCTTTTTATTTTTGTCGTTCGCAGCACACCGGTCAGAAAGAGGTGGCCATCAAAACCGGTGGAAAGGAAAAGTTGCGGATCACTGCCGTGCTTGCAGCAAACATGAAGGGCGGCAAACTCCCGCCGCTGCTCATCTTCAAGGGTAAGCCTACGGCGCCGGGCAAAACCCCCGCTGCCAACAGCATCGAACGAGAGTTCAAGGTGGGCAAGGACAAGAAGGGGATAGTATACCCTCAGAGCGTTGTGTGCGCCGTGGACGACAAGGCGTGGCACACGCAGCGCGTCTTCAGGGATGTTTGGCTCCCCCAAGAGTGGAACCGGCGCCCGGGTCGCGAGGGGGTCCTGGGCAACTACCGTCAGCCGGACACGCTGCTATCGTGGGACGATTACACCGTGCACAAGACAGCCCTGTGCATGGAAGCGATGGACAAGTCCAACACGACGCTGTTTTTTGTCCCCGGAGGCCTAACGCCCAAGATCCAGCCTTGCGATGGACTTATCAACAAGCTGTTCAAGTCCAACATGTCCAGGCTCTCCGATGACCACATGGCCTCCACCGACGCCGTGCGCAACGACCGCGGCTACCCGGATCCCCCATCGAGGGGATTGCTCGCGCAGTGGGTGAAGAAAGCGTGGGATGAAGTGGACCCTGAGAGCATCCGTTCAAGCTGGAGGAAGGCTGGCATGACCCTTGCCTTCGATGGATCTGAGGACGAGGCGTGGGCCAACAAGGAGCTCAACTCCGACGCCCAAGGGAAACCACTTCGTGCAGACGGCGACGCGGCCGCTGCCGGCGTGGAGGAGGCTGGCCCATCGGAGGAGGGGGAGACGATGGCCGACTTGTTGGAGGTGTTGGAAATCGACGACGATGACAGCTCGGGAGATGGCGAAGGCAACGATGACTCGGAGGTTGAGGTCATGGCAGACTTGCCGGGGGCGGACGTTGTTTGCATAGACTGAGGTGTCTTGTCTGGTATCTACGTACCGTAGTTGCATGCCATGGTCAAGTCAACCAAAGCTGCTATTCGAGCCAATTTGTCCTGGGTTTCATATGTTTCGGTAGTCGCTTGTCCTCTTGGTTTCTAGCTTTAGTTGATATGTAGCTGGCACTTGCTTGCGTCCTATGTGGTTCCAGCTTGAGTGGTGAACGCAAGTCTTGCAAGTGGTTGCGTCGTCCAGGTGCCTGTGTGCTGTCGTTTTGTCGCACACAACACCGGCACAACCGCTATGAGGTATCGGTTCTACGTCTTCGTTGTGTACCTATGCGAAGAATTTCCAAAGGATACTGCGAAAATGCACGTGGGAAAGCATGTACGTGATGGAGTGGTGTGAGCCATCCTAGCTATCACACCTGTTTTACACCCCTTGACGCCCTTTGTACGTGGGTGCCTCCTGTAAGCGCACCGCATCACTCAAGCGACATTATTATCACACCCCCGTAGGTAGGGTCTTGTGGGCGCACTGCA